AAAAAAAAAAAAAAAAAAAAAGATTTTAAACTAAATCTTGTAACATTTGGTGTAGATCCTTACTAGTAATTTAGCAATTTCTATCTAACACCTTATAATGAAGCATATTTTATTTTAATTAATTGTGAATTTCCATATTGTTTGATAAGCACCTATGCTCTTTATTATCTGTAATTATATCATCAAAAGATGGAAACAGGCCTAAAATAACATGGTACAACTTGTAAAAATAGAGGGAAGGTGATACTTTTTGGGTAAAGTAATAATATTGTTCTGCATTTATGTATTACAATCTTTTACTTGTTGAATCCAGGGCCCCACACCAGTTTGTACACCAACATTTTTGGAGAAGCGAAAATCTGAAGTGGCTGAAATGAATGATGATGATAAAGATAATGAAATAGTTTTCAAACAGCCCGAATCCAGTGTAAAAGAAGAAATACAAAAGACTCAAACACCAACATGTTCACAGAAAAAAAGGCGAAGAAAAAGCAATCAGTGATTCCGAATGTATTATGTATGATATTTCTTCTCAAAAATGTGATTTTGTTTTGTGGACTAATTCTATACTAGATACAGTGAAATGCAACCCTTGACAAGATTTCTGGAGGAAAAACATACTATTTGGTCAAGTCAGTAAGGAAAGCAATTTGTAATTTTGGTTTGCCTGCGCTTTCTGAAATACGGGGGTGCATACTTGCTTACGGTGGCTGGGCTCATGCTACCTGTTTTTCCTGGTCTCCTCTAGTTTTCAGATTTCATAACTCTCCTTAATTACTTTGCCTGGATAGAATGGTCACCATTAACTACAGATTTAAGTTCTAAACTGCAGCCCTTTTTGTAACCACCAAATAAAGACCACTGTCTTGTTTGACCATCTACATGGTTGTCATGCACTTTTCACCCATCAGGATACTTTAGACTTTAACATCGGTTGATTGAAACTGGAAGTTAAATTGTGTGAGGAGTGAGAAGGAAGTTCAGGTGTTAGTGCAGATTCATTTATGTATTAGTTCAAGTGTTAATAGGATTCAAAAATGACTCATTTTTACCATAACGTTAAATTAGTTTTTGGTGGGCTAACATGGATTAATAACTGTTAATAACACTTTGTATCAGTGTCATGAGCGGGAATTCCAAGATTCAAACGATGATCAACAAATAAACTTTTTCCAGCAATTTATTTATATGCAAGTAAGACTTAGGAGTCTTGGGAAAATATAGTAAATTTTCTCCTTCTCATCTATTTTTCAGTTTCTGATGCCCTTGAAATGTGCTTTTGTATAGCTAATAGAGATTCATTAAAAACATTCATTGCCACCAGGAGTTTTTTTCATCTAGTATTTAAGTCTTTAAGTTACTGGGCTGGGTGTTCTGATTCAAAATGCAAAACAGAATTGGTTTATAGTATATGCAAAAAGCAGATAATACATCGAATAGTTCCTGACATACAGAAGATGTTCAGTATGTATTTGTGGAATGAATGCCCCCCTTTTTTGAACCATCTCTGAACTCAATGGATCTGGATGTCCCTTTCTCTTCTGGGAAAGCATCAGATAAGTTTCTCTACGCAGTGACATGAGTCTATCATGTTTTACCCACGCGACATGTGCATTCAAACACATGTATGCATGTAGGAGGATGAACTGAATATTTCCCTCTTCCCTAACTGTCACCCACCCATCCCCTTAGGGATGGTACCATTCATCAGTACTTAAATTGTGTAAGGGGATTTTGTAATGTGACCTGGAGTAGGAGACAGGCTGGAATCAAGAGTAGAGGCCCCTCAGCCAGTGAAATACTTAGGAAAGGTTTTTACAGTAAGTACTACGGAGCAAGTAAGTTCAACTGAGGATGTAACTCAAAATTGTGCAATTAATTAGTTTGACCACAACTGTGTAAAAGCGAATTTTTTTAAGAAATGGAAAGATATATATCAAAATACTAATGCGTGGGCTAGATTTTTCCCTTTCCTATTTTTTTTTTTTTTTTTTTTTTTTTGAGACAGAGTCTCACTCTGTTGCCCTGGCTAGAGTGAGTGCCATGGCGTCATCCTAGCTCACAGCAACCTCAAACTCCTGGACTCAAGCGATCCCACTGCCTCAGCCTCCAGAGTAGCTGGGACTACAGGCATGCGCCACCATTCCTGGCTAATTTTTTCTATATATTTTTAGTTGTCCAGATAATTTCTATTTTTTTTAGTAGAGACGGGGTCTCGCTCTTGCTCAAGCTGTCGTTTCCTATTTTTTAAAAATATGTTCTTATTAGATATAATCAGAACAAAAAGCAATAAAGGAAAACAAAGGAATTCACAAAGTAGTTTCAGTAGGAGCCAGACATTTTGCAAGCTGCATATTGGCAGTAAGATAGAGTGTCAAATGAAAAAATGCCACAGAAATGGTGTTTGAATGTCAAACAGTGAATGAAAGTTAACAAATTCAAAATGGGGTTTTCTATTGCTAGCATTGTTTGGAATACAGTGTGGCCATATCCAAGGCAGCTAATCACTATGACTGGAAATTGTCCTGGCTGATTCGTGATATGACACTTGAAAAATTAGGGTAGAATTTGCTAATGTGAATTCCAAAATCTCTTCAGTACCTCAAAGGGTATTTCTTGCTCAAAGACTGACTCGAGTTAGACCCCTTGCAGACTGCTGCTATCCTTAGCCCAGGAATATTAATATAGGCAGAAATAATCACATGGCTCAAACCTAACTACACGTGGGTAGGACCCCATGGTGGCAATTTAGCCTGCAGGCCAACTCTGAGCCACTGCCTGTTTTTGTTTTACATTTTTAAGTGGTTAGGGAAAAAATATTTCATGGCACATGAAAGTGATAGAGAATTCAAATTTCAGTGTCCATAAATGTTTATTGGAACACAGCCACGCTCATGTATTTACATACTGTCTGTGGCTACTTTTGTGCTTTGAGAGTTCAGTTGTGAGAGAGACCATATGTGGTCCTCTACTCAGCACTGGTGCCGGGTGCACTGCAAACTGTAGTGATGCGGTTTAAACGCATTTCAAGTGCCACCATGTATCATGGTAGTGTGAATTTTATGTATTGTAAAATTGGATGGTAAAGCATGGTATTTATTTTGCAGTGACACTCCCAGCTGTGTTAGAAGAATACATTGTATGTCCGTGTTACCACACTAAGCATTTATCGCAATATTCCCAACTGACAGGAAAGCAGCAAATGAGTTAGATATTTAAAATGGAATATCTCAGCACCCAATTTCTTGACACAAATAAAAAATGAAAATGAGGCTGTGACTAAAGTTAAGTTCCCATGTGGTTTATTTGTTAGCCAGCCAAGCAAGGAAAGCCACTTACCAATGAGGTGTTTAACTGCAGCAGCTGAAGAAATGTGGCCAGAAAAAACAAACTTTTTAAGACTGTTAGCCTTTCAGTGAGAACAGTTGCATGAAGAGTTAAGGGAGCAACATCAATAGCCAATTTAAAAACAAGATAAATGGGCCCAGCGTGGTGGCTCACGCCTGTAATCCTAGCGTTCAGGGAGGCCTAGGCGGGAGGCTCACCTGAGCTCAGGAGTTTAGACCAGCCTGAACAAGAGCGAGACCCTGTCTCTACTAAAAATAGAGAAGCTATTGTCGGCCCCTCTGGCACGCACCTGTAATCCCACTGAGGCAGGAGGATCACGAGCCCAGGAGTTTGAGGTTGCAGTGAGCTGTGATGGTGCCAGCGCAATAAAACAAAATAAAAACAAATGATTTTGAATGTTTTCCTTGGCTCATGGTGGGTTAGCAGATGTTACCAGTACTGCTCAGTTCAAGAAGTCAATGCCAAGTTTGAAGTGCTAGGGTGACCCATTCATCCCAGTTAACTCAGAACCGTTCTGGTTTTAACATTGAAAGTACCGTGTTGTGGGAACCTCCTTAGTCCCAAGAAAATTGGACCCTAGAAGTCACCCTAGAAGTGACTGAAGAATTACCCTCTGTGAATAGTCTGTGGAACAACTATAAGCAAAAATATTTTCAAAATTGAGAAGAAATTTAGTACAACCTGAAGTGGAATTTGCCAAGATGTGCCACAACTGATAGTGGTTAAAAAAAAAAAAAAAGTGTGGAACAGAAAAAGACTTAGTTGAACAGATTTACAGTTGGGGAAAATACAAGGTGTTTGAAGGCTGTTCACTGTTATTCACCAGTAGGTACTTTTCCAAAAATCCATGAAACTATCGTGTGTTACTGAACTGGTAGTGTCACAGTGTAACTTAGCCATTGTCGGTTCCGTGAATCGTTAACAGTAGTAGAAGCTGAATATCTTGACTTGCCCTCCTGCACAGCAGCTTGATGGCTCGGCAGTGAAAAAGTTTTATTGAGACTCCCTGAGTTCAGGGCCAAGATTTAGAATTTCTGAATGAGAATTTCCCTCAACCGTTATCATTGAACACTAACTGGTTTCAGAAATTAGCTTTTGCTGCAGACTTGATGTTTCTTAATGACTTTAAGTCAATGAATTCAACTTAGAATTACAAGTCAAAACACCATTTATATTTGAAACATAGAGCTGTAAAGTCATTTTGGTGACAGCTAACATTTGAATCAAGGAATGTCAGGCTGCTTTATGTACTTCCTTTGATGTGTAAAATAGAAATGAGATCTCAATCCCCACACAGATGTATTTGCAGCAGGTATATTTTCTGATCTCAAACTATAGTCCCCACAGTGTTTTCAGACTTCAATATGAGTGCAAAGGAAATTTCTGTATTTCAAATTCCGTATTTCAAAATCTATTTAACTGAGGGATTGCAAAGCTTCCACCTATCTTTTGACAGAAGGTGACTAACTGCAATTGAATAACGTGAAGAGATAGCAATACCAAGGTAATAGAATTCTACAGATGCCTTCCAAGTGAGGACTATACTAAATTAAAATATGTTTGGGATTGATACCAGTACTTGACAGGACCCACGTGAAAAGACGTCTCAAAAAATGAAATACATAAAATCTTATCACAGATCAACAGGTAAACATGCAAGTGATGTTGATGATAGAAAACACTTCACACCATCTACAAAAATTAAAGTGTGTCACAGACTTAAATATAAAACAAAACTAAAAAACATTTATTTATTTAGAGACAGGGTCTCACTCTGTCGCCCAGGCTGGAATGCAGTGGTATCATCATAGTTCACTGTAACCTTGAACTCCTGGGCTCATGCAATCCTCCCATCTCAGCTTCCTGAGTAGCTGGGACTACAGGTGTGCACCACCACACCTGGCTAATTTTTCTGTTTTTGGTAGGGATGGAGTCTTGCTATGTTGCCCAGGCTGGTTTTGAACTCCTGGACTCAAGTGAATCTCCACCTCGGCCTCCCAAAGTGCTGGGATTACAGGCATGAGCCACTGCGCCTGGCCCTAAAACACTTTCAGGGGAAAACAGGAGAAAATTTTTCATTATCTGTGTGTGTTTAAGCAAAAGTGTAATCATAAAAGAAAATTTGATAAATTAGATGTAAAGTTTAAAACTTGCTTGGTGAAAGACACCGTTAAGAGAGGGAAAAGACAAACTACAGACTGGATGA